CACAGCTGCCAGTGGTGCTAATGGTGGCACTGTGCCCCCTTCTGCTACGTCGAGGAAGGATTCTGGCCTATCAAATCGGCTAACTAACACCTTCGCTGGTTCATTGCGGAATCTGTACCTCGCGGATAATCAGATCGACGATGATGTATTCGACCAAATCACCCTCCTTAGCGAGCTACGCGTCCTCAACTTATCTTACAACGATCTTAGCGATATGCCCCAACGTTGTATCAAAAGTTGGCCGCAGCTTGTAGAGCTTTATCTGTCAGGCAATGACCTCACAAGCCTACCTGTTGATGATTTGGAGGAGTACAGCTTACTCCAGAGTTTGTACATCAACAATAACAAGTTCACCAATCTTCCAGCCGATATTTCAAGGGCGAAGAAGCTAGCTGTCTTAGACTGCGGAAATAATTCTCTGAAATACAACATCTCCAATGTACCGTACGATTGGAATTGGAATCTCAACCCAAATTTGCGGTATCTCAATCTGTCGGGCAATAAGCGTTTGGAAATCAAGCAGAACAACTTTGGCTCGGGTTCTCAGAACCGCGAGCAATACACCGATTTCAGCCGCTTGCTGAATCTCCGTGTGCTAGGTTTGATGGACGTTACATTGACAGCGCCCAGCATCCCTGACCAAAGTGAGGACCGCCGTGTCAGAACATCCGGATCCCTGGCCGGCCACCTCCCTTATGGCATGGCAGATACCATGGGTAGGAATGAGCATCTTTCGACAATCGACCTAGTCGTCCCCAGATTCAATTCCTCGGACACGGAGACTCTATTGGGTTTGTTCGATGGCCAAGCCCTTTCCAGTGGTGGCTCTAAGATTGCCAAATACCTCCATGAGAATTTCGGCCATATCTTCGCAATGGAACTCAAAGCGCTCAAAACCAGGCAAAATGAAGGACCCACTGATGCCCTTCGACGTGCTTTCCTTGCTCTCAATAAAGACCTTGTTACAATAGCTATTGAGCACACCGAGAAGAGGCCCATGACCGCGCATCGCGGCTCGGCGGCGCCGGTTGTTCTAAGCAAGGAGGATCTCAACTCCGGGGGTGTAGCGACTATCGCATATCTACAAGCTCAGGAGCTTTATGTTGCCAACGTCGGTGATGCTCAGGCCATGATGATTCAGACTGATGGCACGCACAAGATTCTTACCCGCAAACACGATCCCGCCGAACCCGCCGAGCGACAGCGCATTCGGGACGCCGGGGGCTGGGTGTCTCGTCAAGGCCGACTCAACGATCTACTTGAAGTCTCTCGGTCTTTTGGTTATGTCGACCTGATGCCAGCAGTGCAAGCTGCCCCTCATGTTCTCCAGGCATCTATTACACCTCAGGATGAGGTCATTCTTATTGCGACAAGAGAGCTCTGGGAATATCTTACTCCTGGACTTGTCGTCGACGTTACGAGGTCAGAACGTGGGGACCTCATGCGAGCTTCGCAGAAGCTGCGAGACCTGGCCATGGCCTACGGCGCGACAGGGAAGATCATGGTCATGATGATCAGTGTTGCTGACCTAAAACGACGCCAAGAACGATCAGCTCGCTTGCATCGGGGGCAAAGCATGTCGTTGTATCCCTCAGGTGTCCCTGACGAGTTCCAGTATCCAGCCAGGAGAGGCAAAAAACCCAAAGGCGAGGTCCAGGACTCGACTTTACACAGACTGGAAGCCGAGGTACCTGCGCCAACAGAAAAACCTTCCATCGTTTTTACCGACATCAAGAACTCTACCAACCTGTGGGAGATGTATCCTGCTGCAATGCGATCCGCTATACGGCTTCACAACGAGGTGATGCGAAGGCAACTTCGACGTATTGGTGGTTACGAGGTCAAGACTGAAGGCGATGCGTTCATGGTGTCCTTTCCGACCGCGACCTCGGCGCTGTTGTGGTGTTTCTCAGTTCAAACTCAATTACTCGAAGTGAACTGGCCTCCTGAAGTGCTCAATTCGGTATCTTGTCAAGAGGTAACAGACAAGGAGAACAACCTCATATTCAAGGGCCTATCTGTAAGAATGGGTATTCACTACGGTGAGCCTGTCGCAGAAACTGACCCGGTCACGCGGCGTATGGACTATTTTGGTCCCATGGTCAACAAAGCATCTCGTATTTCGGCAGTTGCTGATGGCGGGCAGATCACTGTCTCTGCGGATTTTATCTCCGAGATTCAGAGATGTCTGGAAACCTACCAGGAAAACGAACGAAACGGATCTTTGGCCTCAGATGATACCTTTGACGATGATGCCAATGCCCTTTCAATTAGAAGGGAGCTGAAGTCATTGAGCTCCCAAGGCTTCGAAGTCAAGGAGATGGGTGAGAGGAAACTCAAGGGACTCGAAAACCCCGAGTATATATACTCACTCTACCCACATGTACTCGCTGGTCGTATCGACTATCATAACCAAGCTGCCAACGGTGATGCTGTTGATAAGCCAGCGACTCTGGTACCTGGAAGCGAGCTCGGGTTCGATCCAGAGATGATCTGGTCTTTGTGGAAAGTTAGTCTACGCCTAGAGATGCTCTGTAGCTCTCTGGAAGAGATGTCTGGTAGAGGCCTACAACCTCCCGAGACCGAGCTGCTTGAGCGTATGAAGCAACGCGGTGGCGAGGTCACAGAACGGTTTCTATTCAACTTTATGGAACACCAAGTAAGCCGTATCGAGGTGAGTTTGCACTACCCAATCGCCAACCCACATAATTGGGTGCTCTGTGATCAATTAACTAATCGTGTCTGTCAGACCTGCGTAACGAGTCTCACCATGAGACATATTGCCATGGGTGGTGGCCAAATCAAATTTCTAGAAGACCTGCGAACGCCTATGACGGTTATTCTGGACCAGGTGGCTACTCAAATGGCCGAATTGGAAAGATACAAAGCCAAGTTTGGCCCCCTCGATGACAGCTCTGAGGAGAGCCAAGGAAGCGACACCGAACAGGAATAGGTAGACTGATCATGTTTCGATTCTTGTTTCTACCGTCGCCTACGAACCTACTTGGCATACCATACACGCTTTGAACTTACTTCTTCGCGTTCATTCATTGCGCATTTAGCGAAGAAAACAGGGCACGGCATCTTACTATATAGCCTCCGACCTTGCTATGTGTTACGACGAAGATATCCTTAACGACTCCTGGGGGGAACGGCGACTGTTGATTATATTTCCTTCAAGGCATGGTCGGGGTATGAAAAGGGCGTGGATCGGGAGCAAGCAAAACGGAGCAAGCGCCTGCTTCTAGATTCCTTTCAAAAACGATCGTTCTGGCTTGGGTACATGCAACTGGCAGGCCTAGGATTAATGGGGGGGCTGTCTTGATTGTTGTTTGCATTGGGAGCAGCTGACACACATCCATACATACTATTGACGGGCGTTCAGGGAGTGGGATACACACTTATCAACGGACAGGATACAAACTGCCCTCGCATCTATTTGGCAGGACTCTAGGCAAGCTGGATCATGAAGGATTCGAGATGGTATGTTCAATCATGGATTGGATGGAAAGGAAAGGGTGTGGTGCAAAAACTCCTATTGGTGCTTTCTTGCTACCATGTACCTAGTAAACTACGATGCCGGTATACATGCTGAGGAGATCCCTTGATTGGGGGCAGTATAATATGACGCGGCCCTTTGGAATTTAAAGGTCTATTCAATATCATCCGACTGATTGTGAATGATCATCTTGGGGAAGTTTGCTCGCATGTCTACTGGAGGTCACTTTTCAAATCTTTGAACCACTAGGCCTGGCCACGAAGTGAAGTATATATCCAAGAAAGCGCTTTACATCTTCCAACCCTGACGACAAGGCCCCTCGATGTCCCACGCATGACATTCCCAAATTTTCCTCATCTGTGATAGTGCTTCTCTTTTGGATGACTTGAAAACCGACAAACGGAACACCTTGGGACACTTGGAAGATCCTACTCATACTACCTATTTTGCGGCTCATTACTTTCTGCCTTGCTCCGGCACCCATCCATCCAACTACCTACTTACCTACTCCTACCTGTCCTCTTTCCGCCTCTCCTCACCCCCTTGCAGGTATCACACATCTTACTCGAGCCTCTCTCGCGCGTCTCGTACGGCCCGTCGCGGCGCCCGCACTTGCCGAAGCGCTGTCTGGCCTTGAGCACCCCGAAGCACTTGTGTCGGATACCCGTGTCGTACTTGACGACGGCGTCGCAGCTGACGCAGAGGGTCTTTCTGTTCTTGCTGTGGCACATTTTTTTTGGTTTTCTTGTATGCGGCTCTCTCTTACCTCCTTGTGCACTCCAGTACGCGGGTGGTCTTGAATTGGTCTATTAGTTGTGTGGTATCTAACAGGGGGGGACGCAAAGAGGCGTCCGGGATATACCATGGCGAGATCTTATGGTTGGGAGTTGCTGTCTTTGTTGTGCGTCGCCTACCCAAAGGCATTGTGTGCGACGCAGCGCCCGAGATCTCTGACAATGATTATCGGGAAGGGAAAGAGAAAGGATCGCATCATGCCCAAAGGAAGGACCGCACAAGGGAGGAGAAAGAGATTAGGGGATGAGACTAAGGCTGTGGCCTACAAGGTAGATGGGCAAGATGATGGCTATGGTGGGATTGTGACAATATTCCTGTAGACATCTTTAGATGTGTACATTGTTAGGTAAGAACGGCTCATGCCAACCCTATTTGAACTCGGCGGCAGCAATAAAGGTCACGGAGCTTCTGGATATTCGTTGAGATCATGCATCAGTGTTGAGTATTGAGGTGTATGAAGATTGATTAACTAAGTTCTACAGACAGCTGGAGGGAGCGAAATCCTGAGTACATATACACGTGTGTGTACGGTGTCTTGCTGATATCGGCCTTGATATTTTGTAGTTGATGAATGGGCAGCAGGATGCTCCGCGCCCGTTGCTGCGTAGATGAAGATACTCACTTCGGATCAATTTGGTACCTGGCGCGAGATAAAAACCCGACAGTGACTTACAGAGTAGACAAGAAAAAAGAATATCAACCAATTTACGACTTACGGGATTCGAACCCGTGTATGTTCCTGTCCACATGTAGGAAGATGGGAGGGAACCAGGTTAACCACTACCTCAAAGTCGTCGTCGCTCTGCTGTTGGTTCATAGTCCGTAATTGTGCCATAGATACCTGGGTACGTGACCACCTTGCCTGCCTGCCTGCCTTGTGAATGTACCTACCATAGTATTCTCGATATAAATCTGCAGTACTAACAAGGAAGGTACATTCCTGAGCAGCCGACACTGCGGTTGCCTCGTGCGCGGGACCGCGAGCAAGCTTCTGTTTGCACCGCAGCATTCCCTAGGCATGCATGCTCGGAAGTCGGTACCTGCCCACTTACCTACTAAACCATCCCTCCTTGAAGGGGCACTACCTTCGTTGTCTCGTCATCTTGTCAGGTATCGCCATAAGAAGCTGTCTATGTGTGGTCATGGGAGTGATACGGTACGCATTCACAAGGGAAGGCATCGACAACCCATCACATTCTCGCCTGCGTAACTCAGACATTCCTCACTACCTCTCTGGCCTGTAGAAAGACTACTCGGAAGTCGATTTCCTTGCTACATATGCCTTGGATATAGTTGCCTTCTCGGCAGCCTACAGATCGGTGGTACTGCTGTCTCTAGATCCGGCACGATGCTGCAATCTACGTTGGCTCCAGTTCCAAAACCCATGGTCAGGCTACACACATAAAGGAAGCTCGTAAAATGCAATTCACAAGGAAACACGTCCACAGGAATCACCAAGAATGCGGGCCGAGACACGGCTTAGAGCAGAGCATGCATATCCAGAAGGACGTTCAAGTAAAAATTGAAGTTATCAACACCGAACCATGTATAAATCTATCTGAGCGTGCCGCAAACTACAGGGGTATCCGATTCTACACATTCGTAGCAAGTCTCATTCATATCCTAGCACAAGAACACATCGCGATTCAGCTAAGCAGACGACGCCAGCATCCACATATCCAGTTCTCGTCTATCTGCCGACCGATTACCTCTCATCTTCGCTTTCGACCGAGCCATGGCACCGAAGAGAGCAAAGAATGACAACATACATGTTCGTTGCTACACTCAAATCCGTACAGTTTCATCCGGCCTTCAAGTAATCTCGTATCCCTTAGACAATGAATGTTCCAGCACACTATATCGTACTCATCGTATGATCTTCGTCAATGCCAACGCTGTGGTACTGGAGGAAAACATGTTCGGCAGGGGGGTATATATATATGCTGTTCGACAACAAAAGCAATAACAACACCGTACATGCTAATCGTTAAGAAAATGACGTGCGCTTTCCATCAACTAACGCACAGCGACATCAGATCAGTTTCCGCCACCAGCTACTTCTCGGCGTGGTGTTAGGATCCATGAAGACAGCGTCGCGATGGCCCTTTTCGCCGCTGCCATCCGAGCCACCATGACGTCGCTCTCTCCGCTCTCGCTCTTCACGCCTCGCTCGCCGACGTCTCTGGTCGTCGTCTTCGTACTCGTCGGCATACTTGTCTCGCCGGCGAGCCCGACGAGCAGCGCGGCGTGCTTCGTCCTCTTCCATGGGTGCATCTGTTGTGCCACCACCATCTTCGGGTGGTGGTCCTGCGTCGGAGTGTTCCTTCACCCAGGAATCTGTACCCGAGTGCGGCCAAGTAGGTCGCTTCTTCTTCTTGCGCTCATCGTCTGCGTGTCGAGAGGACTGCTCCTGGGGATATACGAAGTCATCCACAGGTACGGAACGTCGACGACTCGCCTTCTCCTCTGCCCGTCTGGCTTCGCGCCGTCTCCTACGCTCCTCGTCTTCAGAGGCGTCCACTTGTCGCGAGCGTCTTCGCTCGTGCCTCGCAGCCCGGCGCGCCTCCGCATCCTCTTGCCCAGCTGAAGCAGCCGCAGCGGCCTCTTTCTCGAGTTTGCGAAGGCGTCGTCGTTCTGCCCTCTCTGCGTCCTTGGCATCGACGTCCTCAACTGTACGTCGATTCGCATCTCGCTCTCGCGCAGCTCTGCGCTCCGCGCGCCTTGCTTCTCTGTCTTCTTGCCTACGGGCTTCCTCGGCGTCTTCGGCGCGTTGGCGCTTCTTCTCGCGCCTCTCGACCTCTTTTGCAAGTCGTGCTTGTTCGGCGGCCTTTTCCTCAGCTCGCTTAGCGTGGCGGGCAGCACGACGTGCTTCGCGATCAGCATCCTCGTCTATGCTCGGGTTTGCGCCATCTCTTGATCGCTTAGACCTCTTCTCTGGCCTGACTTCATCATCTGTGGTTTGGTACGTGTTACGACGTCGGGGTTCGGGGCGAAGGTCGGAGGTACGAGGTGTCGAGCCCCTCAGGCCACCGAAAAGACCGGAGATGCCCTTCTTAGCGCTGGAATTCGATCGCTTGAGAGGTGGCGGCGTATCCATAGGTCCACCTGCGTCAACCATAACAATGTCATCGTCTATTGGCTTGGTCTGTTCCGAGTCAGCGAAAAGTAGCTTCAAATATTGGCGCGGTCCTACCTTGGAGCGCTTTCGAGACGATTTATCTGGGCTCGACATGACATCAGCTGCACCCACCATAACAATATCGTCGTCATCTTCGGCGCGACGTGTCTTGGAACTTTTGCGACTGCGACTCTTGTCTACGCCGAGAATTTTGGCAGCCTTCGAAGTCATGTCAGGCATTTCCTCTGGCGGAGGGGACACCAGCCCGCCGCTCATTTCAACCGAGTGACGACGGGACGTTTTGCTGACGCTGTTTCGCTTTTCGCGAGTTGACATGGAGCGCGAGATCGGCGGTGTGCTTTGGAACAAACTGTTGACGCGGGACTTCGGAGTCGGTCGCTCTTTTCTCTCATGCCGGTCTGCCTTGTCTGATGTTGAGCCCTTGGAGGAAGTCTTCTCTTCCTTCTCTTTCTTGGGCTTCTTGTCTTCTGATCTGGACTTGGACGGCTTCTTCTCTTTGTTTGGAGTCGCTGACCACATTCCCCATGAAGACCCGCCGTCGCGATTGATTTTGGGCCGCTCTTTCTTGGAAGATCTAGGTTCAGGAGGAGGAGTCGGTGGTGCGGAGGGCGCATCAGGCACAGCCGGGGGCGGAGGAGGAACAGCAGGTGGCACGGGGATCGCATCGTCCTTAGACTTGCTCTTCTTTGACTTCTTCGACTTCTTTTCTACCGGGGGTGCCATATCGACGATCTCGATAATTTCATCTTCGTCCTCGTCTTCATCGCCAGGGAAACTGCCAGGAAGGATGCCCTTCGCTTTTCTGGACTTGGCCTTTTTATTGTCCTCTTCCGGTGGTGGCGCGCTAGGGGCTAGGGGCGGCGGTGGTGGTAAGACATCAATAAGGTCAGGCTCATTTTCTTGAATCGGTGACTCAAATTTCCTAAGCTTCCCAGCGATTTTACTGCTTTTAGTCTTCTTCTTCGGCATTAGATCGTCCTCGATGGCCTGGAAAGAAGACGACGGCGCGTCCAAATCGCCCATGGCATCTTCGAGAACCTTGGATGGATGAGTCAGCATATTAATCTCGGTTGGTCTCCCCTGATTTGCTGGGGTATTAAAATACTTACCGCATCGGGAAATGAGCCCTTCTTAGACTTGGACGCACCCCAGAATGCGAATGGGTCATCTTTCTCGATCGATTTGCTCTTGGAAGGAGGTGCAAGACCCGATAGGATCTCATCTGCCTGTTCCGCAGTAAGATCAACGTTGTCGAGATCCAATAGATCGTCTTTGATCGGCTCCTCCTTGGGTTCCTCCTCTTTGTCCTTGGACTTAGATTTGGATTTCTTGTCTTTCTTGGACTTCTTCTTGGACGCTGCTTCGGCTTCTTGACGTTCACGTTCAGCCTGCTCTTCAGCTTCCCGTGCAGCTTCCGCTTCAGCTGCAGCCGCGGCTTCTTCTGCCAGTCGAGTGGCTTCAGCTTCAGCTTCGGCCGCGGCCGCGGCTACGGCAGCAGCCTCTTCAGCTGCTTCCTGTGCAGCCTGCTCTTCGGCCTCTCGTGCTGCAATGACATCCGGGTCGTCAGCTTCCGCCGCAGCCTTCTCGGCTGCGCGTGCTTGAGCTTTCTCGGTAAGTTCGTCGAAGCGCTTCTGGTCTTTAGATGTCAACTTCTTCTTCTTTCCCTTCTTGGTCGTCAGCGCAGCCAATTCGTCCTCTTCGGCGGCGATCTCAGCCTCGAGGGCTTCTGCAGCTGCTTTTTGTTCAGCTTCTAAAGCTTCGGCTGCAGCTCTCTCTTCTGCCTCCAGGGCCTCGGCTGCAGCCTGTTCTTCGGCTTCCCGTGCGGCTTGTTCTTCAGCCTCCTTAGCAGCCTGTTCTTCAGCACGCTGGTTGGCATTCGCGGTTAACTCATCAAAACGCTTCTGATCTGATTTGGTGAGCTTCTTCTTCTTGGTCTTTTTTGCCGTCAGAGCGGCAAGCTCTTCCTCTTCGGCAGCAATCTCGGCAGCAAGTGCTTCCGCTGCGGCAGCGGCTTCACCGTCGTCATCCGGTTTAGGATCATCCCAATCATTGTCGTCGAGTACCGGCTCCTCCATGTCTAAGGAAGGTGGCGTGGGAGCCGGGGGTGGCGAATCTTTCTTGCCTTTCTTAGACGAGCCCCAATTCCAGTCGTCATCATCGACCTTGCTGCCTTTGCTCTCCTCAACCGAGTCAGGCTGGACACCATCCAGGTGCGACCCATCCTCGATCTCCACTGGCGCGTTTTTACTCTTCTTCTTCTTGTCCTTCTTGGAGATAGTTAATGCCCCAACATCGTCCGTCTTGGGTTCCTCGATTGAGTCTGGGATAAGGCTGCCGTCAGCATTCATCTTCTTCTTCTTGTCCTTATTAGTGCCGAAGGTATTCCAGAAATCATCGCCGCCGCCAGCGTCGCCAAAATCCGGAACTGCAGGTGGCGCGAGGTTGACCCCGGACTCCTTGTCAAGTTCAACCAGAGCTGTCTCGGTCTTACCCTTCTTCTTTTGGTCTTTTTTGCCCCAGTTCATCCAGCTGTCAATATTATCTTCGCCGACTGGAGCTGGCTCGGGTGGCAACTCATCCTTGGGTTTCTTCGAAGACTTCTTCGTAGCACCCCAGAAACTCCAAGCGCTACTAGGCTCTTCGACCACTGGTTCAG